TCAAGTTTTTCAGATTCGGTTAGAATGTGGTAATGGCGATTTCTTGCTGATTTTTGATCGATTTTGGACTAATATCACTCCTCATAGCTCTGATACCAGTTTGTTGGGGATCCTAGGAGTTCAATCAACCAAAACAACAATCAACAAATAAGATTCAAGGCAAAAACAAGAAAATAAAATCGGAAGAATACAACCCCTTCTTTGGCCGAAATCTGTCCAACTTCTTCTTCTTCGTTTCAGCAGCTTCTTCTTCGATTTATGGGTGTTTTTCAGGCTCAGGAACAACCTCCATGACTTGCAAATCACCTTCCAAGAGAGAGGGGAAAATCCTGCAAAGAACCACCACCTTAAGCTAAAACCGAGAGCTCCACCTTCTGCTGGGAATCATCAAAAAACGAGAGCTGCCCATCCTTTTAAATGGTAGAGAGTACATCTGAAGGGGAAGGTAGGAAGACCATGCCTCTGCCAAAACGTGGAAGACCTTATTGTGTCAACCTCACTACTATCAAGTCACAACATTGGGTGGGGTTAGGTGAACCATATCCTCACAATTTACTTAATTTTCTCATTTAAAAATGAAGAGATGCCTCATTTCATTTACATGCTTAAAATTAGGGGTGGGCTAAAATCGTACTGACCCGTTCAAACCAAATGAACCGAGTGATTTGGGTTGATTTTTGGAAATTAATGGGTTGGTTTCGGGTCGGTTTAAGGGTTATTCGTATAACCCGACCCGATCCGAGACTAATTAAAAAACAAAAACAAAAAAGCAGCGAGAGTTGGAGACTATAGACGTGAAAAAAGCTGACTTTCTTCTTCCCCGCCGCTCTGGCCGTCAAAGTTGCAATTACGATGGTTGGTTGCTAATTCTTCCTGTAAGTTCTGTATATTTCTCATAACTGTGTTTTTCTTCAAAAGGTTTCTTTATAAATTATATGTGTAAATCGAACTGGATTTTTATTATTATTATTATTATTTTTTGTACTTCGGATTGCTGTTATCTTTCACTTTATTTGTTGACTATTGTTCGTTGATTATTTTTAAAAAACAAATTTCTCTGGTCTTTTTCATGTCAAATACCGAAAACCTTTTGAGAGATGTTTAAGGCGAGTGAGTTTGATCCACGAATGAGGATTTTGAGGTTTGTACCGGGACTGTAATCTCCACGTCGCTGTTTGTTGGGAAACCTTAATAACCAAAACTTGAACCAAGTGCCTGAATATAGTCACTGATTTTTTGGCCCATAGCAAAACAAGTCAAAAATTAAAGTGTGCAACGTCAATGACCCACACAACAAAATATAAAAGGATTATTCTTAGTATTGCATCACCAAGTACATAGGGTGTCGATATGTACACCCGGCGCTCCCTATTGGAGGAGCGGGGGTATATCAAGAATAACCTAATAAAAAATCATTACCTCTCTGAATTCGAGCTAGTTTCAAATTAAATTCATTCTAATATCGGCCTATATTTTTGTCGTGATGAGAAGTTGTAATTTCCCTTTTAATTTATCCTACAAAGTCATAAAAGATAATTAATTTTCGGTCAAACATCTCAAATTTAATTTAAAACATTTTAGCTTAATTAAGTATTTATGTATCAATTTAATTAAACCTATCATCTACCAAGATAACAATTGTAACAATTCTAGATGTATATCTCAATCTTTAACTAAATTATCAATTTAACTATTAGGTTTGAACAAATAACTCAATTTCGACTCATTGACGTTTACAAATCAATTAATTATTGATCAGGTAAATAATTACAATAATCACAACAACAAAAAATGGATATTTTTATATTTTTTTTCTATAATCTTTGCAATTTGCTATCAATCTACCTCAACTTTTTGTTACATCAAACTTTTCCAACCGTTGATTTATTGTAAATCTCGTTCTCCGTCCAATTTCACGTTAAATTTACGTAAAATCAAGAATTTTCCATCAGATTTAAATAATAAATAAATAAATAAAAATGAGAAAGTAACTATAAAATAGAGAGAAATTTTCAACGAGTCCCAAGACTTTCAAAAAATTACAATAAACCACAATTAAAACAATTAAAAGCAACTTGAAAAAATAAAATAATTTAAAAAATATATCTCTTTTCCCCAACCAACCCAGTCGAACTGGAACCAGGTCCGGTCTCGGGTGATATTTTCAAATCCCTTTGCAATTAACCTTGAACCGGGTTTTAGAAATCCGCTGGCCCAATTTTTACGTGAACCGGACGGGCCAGTTATAAACCCAAAAATTTCCGGACGTCTCAACGACGCTGTAAAACCCTTCAGCCGTCTCCCACAGTTCACCTCCCAAGAATAAATCTTCAAAATCAATTCGTATTAGATAGAAGATGAACATGTAAGTATGAAAAAGTTTTTTTGGTGAATTTATCTTTAGCTAACTTGTCACGTTCCAAGAAAATTATGTATTTTGTAACATAGAAGCTCTGACTTTCTTGGTGGATAAAGCTGTTTTGATTTTTAAGCGTATTTTTGTTGTAGCTTCTGGGGTTATTTCTCTGTTTTTTCATTATTATGGGATTTGTGAGTTTGGTGAACTTTCCCCCTCTTTTTGTCTCCATTTTTCATTATAACGGGATTGTTGAAGATTGCGTATGACTTTCAAGGTAGCTAATTAGCTAAGGCAGTAGATTGGAAAACGTTTAGTATCTGTTCTGTTGAATTTTGTCAAGGCAGCTGATTTTTCATTGTACTAAGCTCGCACTTCGCAAGAGATTCAACTTTGTTGAATGCATTTTAATTTTCGAAGTGTGGTCATCTCTTTTCATAATATGCGATCAGCTCTTCTTATGTGTTCCAATAGAGAGACTATGAATATGTTTGATTAGTAGTAGTATAATATCAAATATTGTATTCTATGAGTTCTTGGGTACTTCCCCACTATGCAAACTTTTCAAGGTGCTCCTATGTTACCTGATTCTAGGTGAAAATGCTGCTTATGTGTAAGGAAATTTCAAACACCGAATAAATAAATAAATAAATAAAGTTGAGAGTTATTTGCGGCAAAGAAAATTCCCAACACTGCATGGAAATTAAAAGAATTACTTGTGTTGTATGGTGTTTGCTTGCCATCTCAAGTGTTCAGTTCCGAGGACACATGGTTTTCAAAGTCTATGACATTCTTTCCTTGTTGCCTGTTGTTTAGGTCTCTTCATTTGCTGACTGTATGTTGTGTTGTAGTTTATTGTATGTGCCTATTTTTTGTTGATTTAATACTTAATATTGATGACTTGTATCAAATTATTTCTTTAGATGCCTTTGTCTGTTCTTTACAGTGATAGAAAGATAGCACTAAATTATTTATCATAAAAGTTTCACTATGCAAGGACATAAATCAGCAAAAGAAGGCACATCAAATTTGTATCATAGTCATTATAAATAACCATTGCAAATGGATTTTTCAAAATATATGATCTAGTGTTTGTTAAATTTTGTCATGCAGATTGATCTATAATCACCAAAGTAACATGAAGTTAATTTAGTTTGTGGTAACAATTATTAGATTTTTTTATACAATGTAAATATTTTACATTATGTTTTGACAGGAATTGTAGACCCGTCGGTTGAACCAATGACCCATTGACCCGTTGCTTTGTCACAGTTAGTGTTTGGATCGGATCAGACAACTATGCCTAAAACCCTTCTCTAGTCTTCTCTTTCAATAATCTGCTCTTCCGGTTCTTGAAATAATCTCAAAATGGAGTCCCCGCTATTAGGGTTTAAAGAACCCCAAGTAGACTACGTCGTTGAAGAAAAATCCCAGAGCTTCAAGCTAGTGCCTTGGATTAGTTGGGAGGAGTGGAACTTTGTTAAAACCTCCCTCTTTTCGTCTTCTGCAGATTCTATAAACGCCGCCCTCCAAAGAGTAATTATGGACTGAATAAATATATAAAATATATAAAATTGAGAATTGTGTCTTCATTTTTTATATAAATTATGTGTAGTTTTAGTTTTATTAATGAAATTGTTTTTTTTTTTTTTTTGGGGGGTTTTTTATATCGACGTGGAGGAGCAGAGGGTGCATTCCGGTGGTGATTGAAGTCACTGCATCTATTATCGAAATTCAACAGAAAGATCCTTTCTTCAGGTGTGCTTTATTTTCTTTTAAATTAAAATTCATCAAAGAATTCATATGTTTATTCCTTCTGTATAAATTCAATAAAAAGGATAAAAGATCCAATCTTTCCTCCTTTATTTTCTGTGAGTTTCAATATAATCATTAACCAAAATTCAGATAAATATGGGCCGACGTTCTTCTTTGTTTGAGATTCATTCCATTTCATACAGTAGTCCTTTTGCTTCTCTTATTTCTTCCTTTTAGTCGAAATTCAGCAAAAAAGATTCTTTTCCCCCTTCCTTTTGTGACTTTCAATTCTCTTGATTGAATATTTTACTTGCCTACAAACAAAAAGGTCACATGCTTACATTGTGGATTGATTGTAGAGATGACTTAAGTGAAGGTGCTTTGCAATCACAAGAAATGCTATCCATGCTGTATTGCATGGCAATTATGAGGTTCGTATTCCTTTCTTATTTTAACTAAATTGTTATCCTGTTTATGTATTGGCCCTGAAAGAACGATTTTTTCTTCTTTCCATTTGTTTCCCAAAGGCTTGTAAATGGTGTGGTTGAAAAGACCCGGAAAAAGATGGAGATTTCAATTGGGGAAGCAGCAAATGCTATTGGCATTCCAAGAATGCTTATTGATATTCGTCATGGTGAATTTCTCTGGATGTTCTTTAGGCAGAACTGCTTTCATTTCTTTGTTACTTATTTTGTCTTTAAAATGTTGGTATATCATTCTCCACGTGTCTATTCTCATGATTCGTACTTAAAAATTTGAAGTTATTAATGGATTTTAGAAAACTTGTAGAGGGTTCTCATCGTGATCTTCCGTCTCTTCAACTGGTTCGTCTTGCATCAATGAAGGTAATATTTTATGAATTGTTCGACTGCTAGCATAAAAAAGGTGTCCTTTTTAAAGCTGCTGTTTTTATTGTCATTGATTTCCTGGACAGAAGCTACACTATTCTGCTTCTAGACGGAGTGAATGAAATGGAACGTGTTTATTTGTATAATAATTTGGATGTGTTTAGGTTTGTAATTTAAAATTGTTTCCACTTCTTTGTAGTTTTCTAAGTGCTTTTTCCCAATTTTGCAAAATCTTTTTTTAAGAAGTTATTGTTCAGTTTAGAAGCCAAAGTCAAGGTAAGATCTAAATTCATTGAATTCACTATTTTTTGCTTTAAAAAGGAAGCCTTGATCTTGTAAAAATGGACCTTCTTGGTTATTTAAGTCGGTAAATTTTTTTGTAGTTGGTCCAAATGGAGCATTATTTTCACTATTTTTGTACATGGCAGCTAAAATTTCCTTGACCATTCTCCTAGGACTTGCATGGCTCCAATGTGAAAGGAAACTTGTAAAGATCTTTTAGTTTCTCGCTTTCTCATAATATACACAAGTAAAAAATATCACAGATCTTTTTGGTGCTTTAAAATCACTCGTATTATTGTAGTTGTTGAATTGTCAGCCACTGTACTACATGCAAACAAAAAACACATGCAAATCTCAACATAAACACGTTAACCTAAAATTTGGTCAGCTGAAGTTTTCAAGATTGGGTTTTTAGTTGTAAAATGTTGATCTGACATCGTGGTAACTTGCCTGTGATGAAAGAGCCTTAAAGGAGGATCTACAACTCCTTGTTAAATATTAAATTCTTGTTTCATCATCAAAAAATTAGAATTAATTGTAGCATTGGAAATCTGCACACCATGAATTTCATAGATATATATTTTTAATTATTCAGGCACTTGATTGGTTGAAATCATATTATTGGGAACCTCAAGAAAAGGCCATCCCGGTTAATCAAACTGCCGATATCAGAAAAGAAATTAAGTGTAGACTACGTGAACTTGCTCTCTCTCTTAAAGCGAAGCAAACCACCAGATCAAGTTCTTTGCAAGTCAAGGGAAAACGTGAGTCTAAAATGTACTCTTCATTTTGTTGAATGATGATTCCTTTTGCATTAATAGAAATTATTCTTTATCTATTGAAATTTCAAGTCTTGTGCAAGTATTGCTATACAGTTCATGACATTTTGCAATGGAAACTCCTTTTTAACGAGTTCTTTTATTTGTTAGCCTACCGTCTCCTATGTTTCATCGTTTGCCAACTAGTTTAATGTCTTTAATTGTAAAACCCAAATAAAAGCTTGATTTCATGTCATAAATTTTACTCCATAATGTTGGGTGGGTTTTCGGTAATTAATTGTCCTTGCTTCTGCAATTGTTTGATTGTCTATTAAAATAGATGCGGTAGATTTTCATTGATGGGTACCTTTCATATTTGAATTCAATTCCTTTAGAATGATTTGATGAAGTAGTTGAGAGCACTGTTAAATAGTTAAATAATTTGATTACGTATTTCTATATTGTAGATGTAGACAATAAAAAATTATTGAAGTAGCTGTAGACATTTTATCTCCGTAGTCAGAATTCAACTTGTAATAATATTGGTAGTAACAGCCCGATGTTTGCACTTTCCCCTTATCATCTTTTTTTAAGAAATATTAATCAGTCTCCTAATTTTATATGGTGGCATTTACCGATGATAATATTTAATTACGTTAACCTTCACACCAACACGCAGGTGTTAGACAAATGGAACACTTACACGGGCATAGCAAGTTGCTCTTTCTTATGGCTGGGAAGACATCACATTTTAAAACTATAGGTAATATTTATTAAACGAAAATTTATGGAGCCTTTATAGTTGAAATGTTTGTTGTTATTGTGGCCCAAAATCTTGAATTGAAATACAAGGAAATTGCAAGATTCTGAATGGTCTAGTAAATTTTGGGGGAATGAATTAGTTGATGGCGTGGGGTGGGTGGGGACTCATTTGATTCCCCTTTTAATTCTCTATTGATTGCTGACAAGATTGTGGGATGGTAATTCTTCATTTTAGTCATGAACTTGAGGCTTTTTACGAATTCTATAATTTGACAAACGTTCCTGTCCAAGCACTGCTAAGTTTGATGATGTTGTGCATTCATTTTCCTTAAGATTATGTGGTATTGTGTTATAAGAAGTTTGGGTGTCAGAAAAAAGATGTCTGACTCTAAAGTAGTTTGGGGGGTTTGGAGTCATAATTAGACTTACGTTAGTTTTGAGTAACACTTATCTTAGTATCAAAATAAGTCCTTGTTTGGCCCCCATTTTAAAATTCATTTTCAACCAGATATTTTATGAGATCCACGACTTTTATCAAAATTTACTAAAAATTTGATTTCTAACTAAACCAAACAGGGGCTAAGTAACTTCCTTATTATAAAACTTACACTTTTTAACCTTAGCCAAAACATGCTCATATTGCCTCCGTTTGGCCCCCATTATTGCCAAATTTTAATGGTTGGAATATTGTTTTTTTTTTTGAAAAATGTGTGGTTGAAAAAGAATGAAAAGTTTTTTATTTGTGTGTAATATTATTTTATGGAAGATTGTGTGGTTGAAAATAAGAGAGAGAAAAAGAATGAGAATGAGAATGGGGTCCAAACGGGGGCATTATGCTTTCTTTTACCGGTATTCAAGGTTTTAAAAGGTGTAAGGCGTAGCAAGGAGAAAAACCTTTGCCTCAAGCCTTATGAGCCGAGGCATAATAAGGTGTTTCCTTCTTTTAAATTATTTAAAGATTATTACTAATAATTCCTTTTACATAATTAGTTAATTTAATTTTGAAAATAAATAAAACTAAAAAAAAAAGACAGTGCCTCATGGTGCCTAGGCTTGCATTAGTCTCACCAAAGCCTAAGCCTTCATTAGTCATGTTTTTCACCGACTAGCTCTGCATAGGCGGTCAAAACAAGGTTGACCAACTTTTTTATGCCTTTTCCATATGTGCCTCCTTCTTCATATGTCATGCCTAGGCCTTAACTTTTAGAACAATGCATTTATTTGTATCCTTTGTCATCACCTCTATCTCTATACTGAATTTCCCCATGATTATGTTCTTGGTAATTCATTAACTTTTTTTATGCATATCTTTAGAAATACCATTTTCAAACATGATTTTAACGTCTGTGTTGGTGGTGGCTATGAGTTTCAGGTTCTAAGAAGCAGGTTACCAAATCATTGAAAAATATTCTTCGGTTGTATACTTCCTTTCCTTCAGAGGTGGTATATATTCTCTTGGAACTCTTGCTGAAGGCATTAGAATCCTCGGAATTCACAGAACACATGGTGGAATTGAATATTGGCCATGAAAAGCTGCGGACTGTATATGATGACTGGAAATCTGTCGTCTTGAAATTGTCAAATAAAGAACCAGAATTTCTTCTAACCATCCTCACCGCTGTTCTTGAGAAGATAGAGACGCAGGAAGAAATCATGAAAGGCGGAATAGGTAACACGGTTAATTTGCGACAGTTTTCAAGCATAATGTTCACTTGTCTATGACTAGTTTTTCTTTTCATTCCTATTTTCCACGAAATGGTGCTCGATATCATATTTATATTTTTTAATTAGTTGATAATATTTATGTAGTTTTGTTTTCATCTTTGATCTACATTGTATGGATCATCAGGTGAACATTGCAATCTGGATTATTTTGCCAAGTCTCGCCAAATCGAGCTACTTGCTTATTTGTTTGAGTGGCTTGTTGGAAATCTCAAGTCACTCCATCCCGTCTCTCACAAGGAACCTACAGAATGTAAAGATTATCTGGCAGAATCGAACTTGCCAAAGGAGACGCTACAAGGATTATTACGCAAATGTCTTATGTTGTCTTGTCCTGGCAATAAAAGGCTGATGGATTCGGCCCTTGTTCTTGCACAGATGACAGGAGACAACTCTTTACTCTGTAAGCTCAAAAAGATGGCTTCCCTGTGGGTGTCAAATTCCAACATTAGCGAAGAAAACTCTGTTAATTCTCACACTGAGATCCTTCTTTCTGAACAAGAAGATTCTATTCGTCAAGCTGAAGAGAAATTCAAGTTAATCAGACACAGACAAATGAAGGGCCCTGATGTAAAACCGACAGACTCCAGTGTGGAAGTTACTAGCCGATGGGTTGTTACGAAGTCATGGAAGCCATGTCCTATAGGCATGCTCCCCCACAATCTTGGCTTCTCGGGCCGTCTTCCGGTTCTCGACTGCAATGACAAGCCCAGAGAAGCTCAAAAAGTATCAGATTGCGAGGCGCCTTGGGAACTAAATCAATATGGTAAAAGGGAAGCTGATTGTTTGATTGAAGAATTGGACAGCGCATTTATTAAGAAAGTGAAGGAGAATGAAGCAGATTGTGAATCATACGATAAGGATGATACTCCCTCTGAAGGGATTATGGGTCGTCTGATGGTCGATGGAGTCTGGAAAAATGTTGCTGAGGAAGAGCTGCTTGCCATTGCATCAGCTGTAAGATTATTAGTTTAGACACAGCTGTAATGGTTCTCTTAAAACAGCTACCATCAATTTTGCGACCTACAAAAGCTACCCTCGTAGCAATCTCCAAAAGTCAGTTATAGGCTCTTCGGATATCTATTTCTCTATTTCAATCTGCGATTCAATATTGGTTACCTCCGTTTTCATTTGAACGTACTAGGATCCTGTCCCGGAATCCTTCTCTAGTAGGAAGCCCTGTCCCAAGAAATCAAAGAACAAGAAGGGGAAATAGATTTTTACTAAACAATTTGTAGTTCATGTTAATACAATCATAGCAAATGTAGAGTTTCTGCAGATTCTTTGCCGGACGCTGCACGAATATGATCGTAATAATTTTCCTGAATTATTGGATATTTATTTTATTTTGATACTTCAGATTCTGTGTTTATTTTCCAGCAAATTGATTAAAAAGTTATGGATTTTTATGTTTATAATTCTGCTCGTTGAACACATTGAACACAGGTTGGTCCTATTGCATATGAATAGTGTTTGGGTGATAGAAAATGATTATCTAGAAAAGTGGTAGATTTCTTAACCAATATTGGGGAAAAAATGATTAAGGCTACATTTGAGCCACATTTTTTCCAAAAAAGTAAAAAAATAAAAAAAAAACATTCTTATACAGTGATCTGACATTATTTCAACTACATATTTTTCAATAAAATAATATTAAATGTAGATTTAAAACATTTTTTTATTTTTGAACTATACATTTTTTATCAATATACTATTCAAAAATGTATTCTTAGGAATATGACGTGGCTCAAACATTCTTAGGAATATGACGTGGCTCAAACAAGGGCTGAATTTGATAGTCTGGAAGCAAGTTAGGATTTGACTGTTAAAAAATTGTGCACTATGGTTCTAATTATAAATTTTTGGAAATGAATTAAAAAGGAGTCCTGAATTAAAATCCTTCCATTTCAGACTTCACATAACGCCCAAACATTGGAATAAGCTTTTTTGATTCAATAAATACTTGCTTATTTAACACACACAAAGAGGCACACGCACAAACACAGCAACAACCAGCTCACCACCACTAGATTTACCACCACCTGCCACCTTTCACCATGTAACTATCGACAATAGCAACGATGATAACATATTATTTCGAATCTGAAAGCAACGGGTTTGATTTCCTACTTATAGTGGGTAAGAATTATAATGCCCACTGTAAGTGTGACAACACCATATCGACGATAGCGACGATGATGACATATTATTTAAAATCTGAAAGTAGCGGGTTTGATTTCCTCCTCATAGGGGGCATGAGTTATAATGCTCCACTATAGGTATGACATGTGACGTCAAGTCGTACTCCCACTACTGATGTGGCTACATATTGTCATACTGTTGTAACTCTTGTCCACTATGAACAGGAGATCATGTCTAATAAAAATATATATCATCCTACTAATTTGGGAACTTTCACCAATGTTACTTAAAATTGCATAAATGTCTTATTCATTCTTGCATTTACTTTATGTAAAATAAAACAAACCATTATCCTCGTACATATTTGATATGCTATACTAAACAACTTTATTTTATTTTTGTTATTTAACATTAACATTCAATCCTTCATATCAAACACTCCAAGAAAATAGATAGCCTCTCTCTTACACTATAGAATCAATTTAGTAAAATTTGTCATGTGCAAAGCTTGCAAACATATAACAAAAACACAAGACATTACTAGTTGATACGATATTATGAAGACTTTTTGACTGAATTTTGGATGACACAACTGTCAATTGCACTCAATATACAGTTAAAAAAAAAAAGCTTCTACTAGAATCTTATAAATTTCGATGCACGAATAGTTTTCTAGTTTCCCACAACCACAAATTGATATATAGGCATCGCATACTTTCGAAGGATTTGTTGATCTTTGTTTAACGGGACATCAGAGCTTGGCCATTTCTGCAAGGATCCTTTCGATCTCTTCAAGAAGGCGCTCCTTTTCTTCGATCAAGTCTTGGTTCTGCTTTTGAAGCTCTTCAATCTGCTTAGTCTGTTCTGAATCCTTTCTGCAAATTTATCATAAAACAATTTGGTTAACACCAAAAATAGGGACGAAGCTAGGATTGTAAAGTAGTGGGAGCAAATTTCTATAACTAAAATCTTGAAGTACAAAATTTAATAATAATTCTATTTGTACCGAATTAGGGGTACCGAAAGTTAACTCCACTCTCACAACGCACGTGGGCCTCACATGAATATAAAAATTTCCAAATGGGGTCCCAACCCCTATTGTGAGTAGTAGGTAAAGGATTAGATAAAAAAAAAAAAAAAAAATCACGTACATGTAACATTGTCCAAAATTTTAATTGCGGGACCAAAATCATAACAATTTCTCAAAAATCTTGGATTTGAAATTTGATGCGGGGGCAGCTGACCCCACTGTCCCCATACTAACTCCGCCACTAAACGCACGTTGAGGTTTGGAATGATTTACATTATACCCTCAAAGTTTATAAAAATTTGATAAGATCAAGTTTTAATGCGAACTTCTTGTGCTTACCTATTCATGAAAGACAAATTGAGTTTAAGCGAACGCACTTCCTTCTCTAGATTTTCACACCGCTTCAAAATAGACTGCATATCCGAAGGAACTACTGGTGTTGAACTTCTTTCTTTTGCTTCGGCCATCCTGCATTACTCGGAAAATTCAACATCGAGAAATTGTTCGAAAGAATAGCAAACAAATTATCTATACACAATTCACAGGGATCAACAAGCAATTGATATTTCACGATGAGCAAAAGAAGATACATACTTCCGTGACCGTTCCACTCTTCGTTTTTTGGTTGGGTCTCCTTTTTCCACTGTATGAAATTCATAATGCTAATCATACTTCAAATTCTATAAAGCACAAAGAAAGCAGAATTGGCATATGAAACACTCATTAGCTTGAAGACAGAGTCAATTACCTGAACCTGCTGATGTTACTGATCCAAATCGAATTAAACCTCCTTTCTGCTAAAGATTGAAGAAATAACAAAAAAAGTTCAAAATTTGAACGAGGTATAATTTTTGCAGGGCATTTGAGCACAGCCATGGGACGAGAAGTCAAATTGATTAGAATTTAGAAGTACCTTTTGATCATCTTTGAAGTCTTCGTATATGCGTTCTCTGATATCTATCATTAAAGAAATGGAAACTACATTAATTTGATGTTCGTTTCTATAAATACGAAAAGAAAATTGATGATTAAAATCGTGTTATGTGTACCTTTAACTCTCGAACAATCCTCCGGGCTCCTTTTAGTTGTCCATTGTTGTTTCATGGAGCTTTCGCTAACACTTGGAGCTTGAGCTGTAATGCAAGGATCATCACATAGGTCGAAACCATTTGAAACTACAGGTGCTGCAGCTGAAGATTCACTTTGAGATGGTTCTCGAGATATTGTGCTCATTAACGCAGGGTTCATAGGAGCCATAAAACCTTCCAGGTTGATACCAAACGACTCATCAATTGCTTGTAAAACATCATTATCTTTTACTTCAACTGTAGATACATCGTGGAAAGCTCCCTGAGTTCCATAAATATGAATTCCTTGCCCCTGATTACTAATATTGCCAAAGACTTCCTCAGTCCCATAGTAGCCAAAAGAACTGTCCTCAACAGTTTCTCTCTGGATATGTTTACCGAGCTTCTTTCGCTCTAGCGTACCCTTTAACATGCTCACGACAGAAGAAATCTTATCAGCAGTCCCCAATTGTGGGTTGTTGAAATTAGATGACGAGGAATTGGAGGGAGACATAAATGTACTGATCTGGTTAGGAATCTCAGTCATCGGCATGTTAGTGAATCCGTTTGCATCTGGATGTTCTTGATTTAAGTTGCTGACACCACTTGCAGATATGTCACACATGGCCTCTATGCCTAATGATGTCTGTGAGTTTTGCAGGGCGACATACCTCCTCCTTCAAGAAAATGCATACGATCATATATTTTATAGGTAAATCAACCAAGAGCTCTCATTTAGGGTCTCTTTTGACATAAGGGTCATGGAGAGTTCTCACTTAGGTTCTATTTTTTGCCCTAAGAAGCTCGTAGAGATCTCACTTCTGGTCTTTTTAGACCTATGGGGCTCGTTGAGCTCTGAGTTGAGACTTGTAAAGCAACTTGTGAAAAAACAATGCTGAATCAATCATTCTAGCCTTCACCATCATAGATGTTTATAATTAGTGGAAAATTATTAGATCCCTTTAAGTTCTCCATTTTAGGCCATGTAGTTCAATAACTCAACAAAAAAGATACTTCAATAATTGTACAAACGCGGAGGATACCTTAATTCTGACGAACGACTTCTAGTCATAGGTTGAGAACTGTGAAACCATGCCTGTGTATAAGTTAAAAGTAAGACTCACAAAGTTTAATAAAGTGAACGATTTTCGAAACTAATCTTTCATACCTTTGCCAAGAACAAATTACTAGCCTGCAGTCCTTTGTCAACTCCATTCCTGATGACAATTAAAGGAACAAATCAAAATTCAAAAATGAGAAACAAGTATATTTTAGAAGTAGCATAACATAGTGTAACCAAATGGAAGATAACAGAAGTTAAACGTAATGGATCTAACTATGGCTTCGATGAATGATGATACAGAAACATCAATTCGTAACCAAGCTGGATCGATGACACAGAACATAAAAATTTTACCTCGTTGAATTGAGATCATTTGAGGAGTCAGCAGCAATGGAACTAGTTTGTGGCAATATAATGTCGTCATTTTGTTTCTTGTGGTTTACGCCTCCATGTTGATTAGTTAATCCTGCTAGTTCAGTTGAGATCCTGCAAAATTACATCATTATCTATCAACATGTGATGCAGGGGATAACAAGTTTGATGCAAATGCTTTCAATTTAAACAGACTAACCTTCGTGGTGCTTGTCGAGAACGATGCATAATGCTTGATGAGTGGCAACCATTGTTCTGATTTAAGAAGTTTGTTAGTTGTGATAGAAAATGGAAGGGGAATAGTAGAAGTAAAATGGAATAAACAGCAGATCCAGTAGAAAAAACACTCCAGCTAAGATTAATCTTGGTTCAAATTTGATGGATACTCTGCTTCATACCCTATCTTTCCAGCCTAATATATAGCAATGATATAAGGGATTGTAAACGAAGGCAAAAACAAAGACCAAACAACTTTTTATCTTTTAGATTTAATTAGACGAAGTAGCCGGACTCTAGAACATCATCAGACGAGCCTTAAACTGTGGAGACATTATAGACTACGCAAAGACAAAATAGAAGAATGGTACAATTTCTTGCCTCTCCATTTGTGAGCCAGCTTTTGAAAAGTTCCTCGCTATCAGTGCGGAAGTTCTGACTAAAATTCTTGAATCCCAACATCTCCATGGTTGGAGCTGGCATCCCGATAGAGCTTTCCATCATGGTTTTTATGAACATCTCTTCACTTGTGTTTCTGTAAAATTCTGAGTAGCCTCTTCCCTCCATGAAATTCTTTCCTTCTTCACCCTGAATTTCCTTCACAATGAACTCACGAACTCTTTACTGCCCAGTGACAGTTTTACAGATAGCTAGTCCACAAAATTCTTGTTGTTTGATCGATAAGAAAATCTAATCTTATTACCTGCCTTGTTAAAAAGAAGCTAAGTCTAATACCTGTACAACCTGAGTTTTACAAACAATTCACTGTAAAACCTGCTCATCAAACAAAACTATGAAGAAGCCAACTTAGCATCCACCTGAAGTTCATCAACAGGGGAACTAAACGAACTTATAAGTACCAGGAACAAATGATTCTTCGAGGGATAATTCGTCTTCGACACAAGAAAGGATTGAAGAAAATTCCTTTTTCTTGACTCTAAAGAGAGAGAACAAAACCTACATATACTTTCTAAACAACTGAAATAATCAATGCCTAAAGCTCAAATTGCAGTTAACACTCTCCAATCAATCAGGTCCTAAAGAGTAATAGACCCGGCAATGCAAGAAGCTGTCAACTTTGAACTTGTCATGAATATGCACTGTGATTAATATTTCTTGTTTAAATAACATATTAGCATATGTTGCTGTCACTTGCAAGAAAAAATTTCTTATTCAGTTAGAATAATTAACAAACATATAGTGGGCATAATAAACAAATATAATTGTTGGAATCTAAAGGATAAAACTTTCCTAAGATTCCAATTGTCTAAATTTGTCTGTAACCTCCTGTGGAACGAAAATTGTCATACAAAGATTACCAAACCAATGGAAAATGCCATTATTGAGTGATTCATTATTTGTACCTGATTAAAAAAGTATTATTATTATTATTATTATTATTATTATTATTATTATTATTATTATTATTATTATTATTATTATTATTTAATTTTTAAATATAAAATCATGATTTAGCCTAATTTCCTCAATTTTCTATTGGACAGAATTTCCGAAAATCAAAAGTCCTCAATTTAGTGAAATATATAGCATTGACTAGGAAGCTACTAGAATTGTTTATATCTATAGATTGAGTGATGTAAGTTAAGAAAACAACGTAGAAAACATTTCATACAGTGTGAAAGAGGCATGGCATTGAAGAACAATTGAATTATTTACAATTTTTCTCTTTCTTTATGGGCAATTTGCAAGTTAGTCATTGTAGTTTGCAATTGTTGCAATTTAGTTTCCCATTGTGCATGTATCTATAAAAACTAATACTATGTAGCACTAGTTTAAATGATAGCAAGTTAATTGTTTCATTGTCCAGTAATTTAAGTATCGGTTTAGGTGACACTTGGATTCACTATCTCATCCCCACTTCATAGTCCAATGAAAGAGTGAACTTCATTGTCACCAAGGGACGTTGCTTAATGTCAATTATTCTGTGTAGAATGATTCATACATTAAGGACATTGATCGGTCAAGATTTTCCCGAAGCATAATCCAAATATTTTCTCGTGGGATTAAAACCAATGTATATTATAACCAAGAAAGTGTTTGAAATCAAAGAAATTTGGGCAACCCACCTTAATCAATTTAAAATTATTAAAAATATGTTAATTAATGGTAGAAATGATAATGATAAACCTACTCCACCATCTTTACTCAAGGATATGGACATAAAGTTGAAACCTAATCTTACGTAATCGAACATAATTAAAGAAGAAAGATGTATGATAATCGAAAATGATCGACGTTTAGGCATTTGGTTTCATGATATTTGCTTATAGAAAATGATGTTAAATGAAAATGACCTTTTCATATTTGTTTTCACAAAATTATTAATTGATGATGTTGTTTTCTTGACTTGCAATTTGTTTTTGTCGGGAGGAATACTAAAATAAAAACTAAGTTTGACTTGATTTGGGTTAACTGCATAATTAAATTACTACTGAAATGTTGGGTTAAAGAGGAAGTTGGGAAATGGAATCATTAATTAACATTAAATTTGTAGGCTGGTATGGTCAAGAAGTACCTTGGGGGAGTTGTGTGGTTAGATTGTTGGAGTCGAATAACATTTCTTGAGAAAAGACATCATGAGTAAAATAGACATTTGAACAAATTTGATATCGAGTTTATGTGAATTGAAGTGGTTATGGACTGTGAATATAATTTATTGAACTTCAGGCGCCGATTAAATCAACGACCCTTTCACTTAGATCTCTAAAGCGTACTTTAAATTGAAGATTAAAATTCAAATATAAAACCCAAATTTTTGTAACAAGTCCCTTACAAATCTTCAATCACCAAACGATGCCTAAGAATATCAAAAAAGCCTTGAAAGCAACCCCATAAAAAATGATAATAGTGGGTCCTTGAACATTGTCAATTTCCAATTTTAATATTTTTCATATTCACAATTGACATAGCCTACGTTGATGGAATTAAGATATTGATTTTTATTTAAGACAAAGTTAACAGTTAATTTTAATAACATATTTTATAGGATTGACAACTTTTCAATCACGCATTTCATTAACTTTTATTAAAATTTACTAAAAATTTGATTTTAATTCCTTCCAACATGAAGCACAATTTAGATTAGTGTCAATGTCAAACTGTATTTTAATTCCAATGAGTAAAGATCTTGCCTTATTGACAAAGGACGGTCAGAAATCATGGAAGGCATAAGAGTTCAGCGCTTGTAACAGAAATTGATAAAATAGTCGAGATCACCTGTTTAACATTATATCGAGATGATACGAAATTTTATATTTCAAAATTAACACAAACACTTATTATTTGAATTCTATGATGAATATTTGGGAAGCCGGCGATTTTGGTTCAAGTTGGGGTCAACAGCTGACGTGCTCTACAGTGACATTGATTAATAAAAAACACACTTAAACCTCACTTAATTCTTTGATTACTCTTATCATTTTTGGTTTATTCTTCAAAGATGCTACTGCCTACTAGTTTACAACTATACAAACCGACTCTATGTGCATAATTTTCTCTCTACTCAAAACATATATACTACAATATCGAGCGTTTAAATTACGTGTATAACTATTTTAGTCAGCACGCAAGTAACTATGAATGTAATTTTTTTTAAAAATATTTCTAATTTTTAGTCGATTTATAAGATACGATTTGTTAATTTCTCAAGGGTCAAAGGCTCGTGACTATTTCTTCTTTGTGGCTCCTCCTATAGTCCAATTCTTTTGTCATGTTGAATTCGAATAGGTATAACTCGTCATCTTACCACATGGATGAATCCAATTCAAAATATGAATCATAAAAGAATAAAATTTTCAACCGATCACATGAATACACTTAAAAGTACTTTTAAGCTAAAGAGGAAGCTTCTAGTATAGTTGTATCAGGCATTTACCAACGATACTTTTAAGCTAAAGGGGAATCTTCTTGTAGAGTTGTATCGGAAATTTACCCCAATTTCCTCCCAAGTCATCTAGAAGGCTTTATTCTAGCCCAAAAAGTTATCGATCCATGATAGAGTGCTTAAATTGCATGCTCGAACGTTACAATTGGATCTTTTCTCCGAAAAATGAGAAGTTCGTCCTGAACATGCCTTTTAATAGTCCATTTTGTTGACATAAATTTTTTACCGATTCTTTTATTCTAACTGATTCAATAATCAATCATTAATTAGTAGAATGTTATTACCACGTTTGATAATTCTACCACATGTAAGAACTTACTGGTATGTGTTGTATGATAAATTATACAGTATTAAAGAAGAAAAATAACAAGTTTTGGTTCAGAGGCCATATGCTTGAGACATGAGATAGCAGGAGGGGCGGGGGGGAGAGAAGGTTGTTCCAATTCAGACAAAAGAAAATTTTCCTGTCGCTAACAACTAAAAGGGGACTGCAAAGTAAGTAATTAAATAATCAAAAACCTTAGTTATGCAATTTTGTAATCTTAGTAACTATAGACTGATAAAATTACAAACTTCTGTTGACCACCTGAAGTCACACCCTTACTTGACAAGCTAAATACAAAAAATTATTTTTAGACAAAGACTGGGGTAGTTGATGAATGAAATTTTGATTATTTTAAGATTCCTGCATATTTTGCCACCACTGAGGATTTTGCCACCACTGAGGACCTACCTCTACTGAGAAAGATTATGGCAAAGAAAATACAAGAGTTCTTATTTTTTATGGCAAAGAGTTGGTGAAATGTACAATCACCAAATGAATAATTCGAGACGTCGTCTTTGCTTGGAAAATGATGAAGATCCCTCCATCTCTAACTTGTTCAGCTTTTAGACAAGGTAGTTTTTTACATTACAAATTATTTGGCTTGAAATCATTCGTAACACGACTTTTACTCGAAGAATCTTCCTCTGCAATTCCAAGAACTAAATTCCTACTACAAAAACATTTGAGTTCTAGTATTTGGGTACGTTAATCCCTAGTTTCTTCAAGGAATCATATCCCAAGATAGCAAATTTGTGTTTAAAGCAGCTGAGGTTTTATCGATGCACAATATAGACAACAGATTCATCCTACGCGTTGGATGAACTGAATCATTAATTGTAGTGACATCATCTTTTCATGTTAGAACAAGCTACCTCGGGTCTTTTTCATATTCTGAGAAGCCTTGTAAAAATTGTATTATTCTTATCATAGAAGGACAATGTTAAATGAAGAACCTCTGGCTTATAGAATCCTCCTCACATGCGCATATCCTTAAGAGCAGGTCGATTGCATCTAGAATCAATTTTTCCACAAGCATTTAGTGGTTTAAAAATGTGAAATCTAGTTCGAATATGCATCAAACTTCGGCACTTTTTCACACATTTCTAATTTTTCATGCACATCAAGAATGAGATTAACATGCTTCAAATCAATCAAAGAACTCAAAATTTTTAATAATGTGTGATCTTAAGCACTACTCCCGTGCTACACATTCTAAAGAACAACTCAACAAACTATGTTAGTGAATGATAGTAATTATTTAGTGGAATTTTGGGTGCTAAAGTTTGTTCGTTCTTTGCTAGAGTCTGAAGAGTTAACTTTTGCCGGGGAGTAGGATGCTTCCTTTTTATTGTTTCTTTCTTTCTTTTCCAAGTAGAGGAATTGTTCCAGGAGAGTGGGATCAAAGTTGACAAGAATTTATTTATTTATTTATTGGGAATTGAGAATAAAAGGTCTCTTTTTCTTTATTTTTTAAGTACGTTTTCTTATTATTGTCAGTTTCTTGTTTCCCACCCAAATAGCG